GGGGGGGGGGTTAGGACCTATTCTGATATTTTTTCTTGCTTTTTATCTTATCTTTTCTTCCAGGTATAGTGTGGATTTCGGTAAGAGTGAGGTAGAGATACTGAAGCATATATCCAACTACCTGGTGGCGGAGAAGTCTGAGTTATTGCTGGAGCTGCTTGCTAATGGTCAGTTGAAAGTGACATATCAGCCTTATGACTGGGGCATGAACTCTTAGCATTAGCATCAGCTTCCTTCAGTGTTGCTTTAAAAATATTGTGGAGTAACTGTCAACCAAATGAAGATAACTGCAGCTCCTGAAAAGAGGGAAGTTTTCATACTTTGTGGTTACGCCATCCTGTCTTTCTCCTTCCCCGCTACCATTTGTGTGGTTTGGTGTTTGACTCTTTTAGTATCTTCTCCACCTGATCTAATTTCCGGAGCAGCATTTTTCCTTAACTCAAATGGTATTAACCAAAATGAATTAATTATATATACATCCTGTAAATACCAAACATATGATGTTAGCACTTAGCAGATGGACCTTGGCATCCTAAATTTAGTGAATCAATATGATAAATTGGACAAAATTAATGTGAAATTAGATTTCGGATGTTGCATTCAATGAACAAGCTAAAAATCCTGGGCTGTGAATGGGACGGAATTTAATTCAACCATGAACTTGGAACTATGGTCCAAGGACAACCACTCCATACAAGTTTATACCCCTAGAATGTTATTTGATTTGGTACCACTTTCCAGTTTCACCTGATGCTATCGATTAAAGTTTTCAATTTTGGTAGGGAGAAGCTTTATTTTCCTTGTGACAAGGACTGTTGGGAATTTCTCCACCCAAGGTTTTAAAAGGCTAAAGGCATAGTTGAGGCGTAATTGCCCAAATAAATGAGGTTAAGCCTTAAAGTGTTGCAAAGCATAAGCCTCAAAGTTTAAGAAAAAAATTATTAAAGTTGGTAATTTGATGAAAATAACATATAATATACCAAATTAAAATGATAGAAGGTATCCATGAACTAGAAGTTTATAACCAATAAGTTTTGGCATTTAAGCATTTAGTGAAATAATAACTAATCAACTAACAATTATAAACATTTTATATTTCATGTAAAAAACATTTTAGAAGAAAAGAAACATATGAAGAAGCATCCATATAATTGATATTTAATTTATGGTCATCCAATAGTTCAGAAGAAAGAAAACAACTTAGTCATTTTTACATTGAACTCTCTGCTAGTAGAATTTGATTTGCCTTATTAGTGTTTCAATTTTGCTTTTTTTCTTTAGCCCATAATTATTGAAGTGTTTTTTCTATATGTTTAAATTATAAGAATACATTTTTTTGCATTAAATCACTAAGTGATCATTGATACTTGAGGCTTATCGCCTTTTTAAGCCTCAGGCTACGCCTCATTCCTTGTGGCTTACACCTCATTTTGACAAAGGCTTATCAGGGCATATGCCTCATGCCTCAGGCTTAATTTGGGTAGAGCACTGATCAAGAATGTAGAGGGAAAAGAGCTTTCCCGAACTGATAGACAGGTTAGTCTTCAACACAGGGAAATGGCTTTAAGACTTGTAAGATGGTACGCCTGATGGGTGACGATTGGTTTACCATGGATCGGGTTAATCTTCAACTCAAACAAAAATCCAGACTGATAGACAGGTTATGGCAATCCTCCGAACAGATGTAGATGTGGCCAACTGAGAGGTGGCTGAGTTGGTACGTTAGCTGAATTTGTTTTAGGGGAGATGAGGATTCGAGTTTCACTACCATTGACAAAAGGAAAAAAAGAATTGCAGCCCCTATGAGGGATCCAGGCTGCCATTTAAATACCAAAAAAAAAAAAAAACAACGGATGTAGATGTAGAATTTGAACCCTGTGTCAATGGCTGCTTTGTTCAAGAGTATCAGGAGTTTCCGTATCTACACTCTATAGAGAGACTAGTTTCTCCATTTACAATGTCAAATACTACCGAATGCATAACTACTTATTCTTTTTCCTTCTTTTAGAAGGCATCTTACAAGATAAGAGCTGAACAAAAGAAACAAGATATTGCAAAAGATAATTCCGAGCGATTAAAGATGGGCCCAAAGTCTATGTTGTCAGACTCTGGTTCGGACATAAACAATTTTGGGCCCGGTTTTTTTTTTTTTTTTTATTAAGTTGAATGCTCTATACATGCATGGTCCTAATTGGAAATATCATAAGAGATCCCCTCCCCCGCCCCCTGGAAAATATTTTTCCATAAAAAAAAACACATTTCTTTTATACTCTAAATAAAAATAACACCAAGTCATCTTCCCGACCCTGCCAAATTCATGAATATTATATATTTATACAATTTTGAAACCACAGTGGGAAAAAGTTTAAACACCATAGCAACATAGAGATACTGTAGCCGAAAAATAAAACTTATTGAAAACAGTTGAATGAATTGGAAGGGGAGGGGGTTTTAGATCATGCAATTTACAATTCTGCATTCAGTCATGCAAAGAGAAAGGACAGTCAAATAGTGTTTCATGGCCATAAACATGGGGTGGGGGGGTCAAATAGGGGTGTAAGTCCGGTGGGTTGGACCGGGTTTATGGTCAACCCGGGCTTGGTCCTAAAATTTGGACATAAGGCTTGAGCCTGAGGTAAAGCCTAATCTTTCCAACCCGAGCGCAGCTTGCACTGTAATTTGATGCACTCGAGTTGGGCTCGGGCCCAAGCCGAGTTCGGATTGGTCAATGGACCCTCTAAAGTTATACATATGTGTGTATATATGCAAATAGGTATACATATATTTATGTATATATGCAAATATGTATGTAGATAGGTAAACATGTATACCAATCTAATATATTAAAGGAAGGTTTCAGGCTACAACCCCCACCATTCAGACATGTGGCTTTTTCAAATTTAGACACATGGCATTTTCTGAGAAGTTGCTATTAAAACCCACAGCCCACTATCACCATTCAGACAAGTGGCCTTTTCATTTTCTAGAAGGGTAGAATGTGGCAATTTCTGAGAAATTCCTGCTAAAGCCCACACAACCCACTACCAGGCTACAACCCCCCACCATTTAGACACATGGCGTTCTCATTTTTTTGAAAAGCTAAACATGTGGAATTTTCTGAGAAGTTGTTGCTAATGCCCACAACCCATTATCACCATTTTCAATCCATTCCTAAAAAATGCAGAAAATGCAAAAGTGGTTATCCACAACCACTTCTACCTACATTCTATCAATCTCAGTTAATCATTAACCCTCTATGTGTCATAACAAAAAAAAATTATCTATATTCTAATAATGATTGAAAAGCTATTTTTTTAAAAAAATATTTATTAAAATTTTAATAACTATTTAAAATATTAATAAATATAAATTTAACATTATTGATTCCATGTACTTAGTACGGGGTCATTCATTAGTGTGTATATGTATGTATGTGTGAGTTTGGATATCCTACCCACAAGAACTCTGCCCACGTCTACCCACATAACATCGCAGCCACACATGGAGAACATCTCATCCTCCTACATAGTATTATGCACTGGGGTAGTGTGTTGTGAGACGTAGGCAGAGTTTTTGTGGGCAAGAGATCTAGAGTCTGAATGTGTATAGCTGGGCCGGGTTTGGGCTACCTAAGCGTTGGGCCCAGGCCTGGTCCAACAAATATAAAAAGTCCGATTTTTTGGGCTCAAGCCTAGCTCAAGGATAAAAAAATCCAAGCCCAGCCCATGTAAAATTTTGGGCTGGCCCACCCAAATTGCATCCCTAGGGTCAATGTTTAGCAATTGAACAAAAAACTAGGGGCTTGTGGAATCTTTTTTTTATTAAAATATCCCTACTTTTAAATTTGATCATTCTAGTTGTGAGGGTGAAAATGTGATTTAAACTATTAATTTCCTCATTAGTAATACTAATTACATCTATATCCAAACCAAAAATGAACCAGTTCTTCCTTTCTGAGGGTGGGTAAGAAATTCAACCATTTAGGTCAAACGAGAATCCATAATATCATAGTTTAATAAAATTTTTAAAATATAAATAAATACAAAAATTTTATAAAAAATTTTGGTATCATATCTAATATTATCTATTCATTATACTGAATAAAAACAAGTGTGATAAATAAGAATTATTTTTAACACATAGATATATAAAAAAATTGTAGAAAAATGTGCATATATATCTGATTATTGTTATTATATTCATCATCATCATTTAAAATTGTCACGTGCAAAGTATTTACACATTTTCTAATACCATTAAATTAGTAGATTCTAACATTATAAACCTATGTATAAAGGTCTAAAATGTTATATTTGTCTCTAAGTAATGTTTTATTGGAAAAATGCCATTAATCTTGAATATAAACTACTGTTCATTTATGTCAAATAAAAGAGAAAAAAAAGGGAAAATGAAACGTGAAAGTATCGTCAAAAATACGCATGGTGTTGAACCCCACATGCATCCATTAAAGTCATAATGTGGACACTGCGTCCATTTTAAGGAATGATGCTTCTAAAACAAGAATCTCACACCAACATACCAAGAATTCACACACCGATAAACTTGTAAAACAAGGGGCCCGGTTTGGAGAAAACACATTGACATGGTAAATCCCGAACCATTGACAAAATATAAGCAGAATCAAAACCACCCCATGACAAAATATAACAACACCAATGAGGGGTCGTTTGGATTGATTAAACTCTCAAATGTGAGTTCAAATCAGCTCCCCAGAATGTCCCATAGCACATTCCTGCCGTGTATTGGGAACATCTCCCGATATGGGACATTGTGGGGGGCTGCCTCAAATGTGAGAGTGGGTGGACATGACACTTGTGTGGATCCCCTACGCTTAATGCCTTAAACTAAGGCCTACACTAATCAATAGAAATTCATGGGATTTTGATCGGTCAAACTCTTAAATGTGACAGTGGATGACATTAGTAAAAGTAACGAAACTGAACTATCTCTAAAACCATTCTGGATTTTATGCTGAGGCATTCACTATAACCAATAAAAATTCATCAAAATTCATGGGATAGATTTGATCAAAACTCCCAAATGTGAGAGTCAGATCCAAAATTATTTTATGGATTTGATCAATCAAAACTACTGCTATGAATTTTGATGAATTTTCATTGGTTAATATAACCCTTGGCCTTGGTACAAAGGAAACAACAGGAGATTTGAAATATGGTCTGCTACAAAGTACAGACAAAGACGCGTAAATGGATCATGTAACCAATCAAAATGAAGATCCGACATCTCCACAATCAGACTAATGCGACTTTCTTCCACGACGAAAAGCCGAGAAGGGGCTCAAGTTTTTCATTTTTCAAACAATCATTACTTAATGTTATAACAGATTTACAACGGTTTACAATAGAAGTGGCAAATGAGTGGGTTGGGTTGGATTGGATAAGGGTTGAATACTAATTCACCCATATTATTGACCCACCAACCCTTCATGACCCATCATCAATCCTTGCTAAAGGGTCATGACCCACCCTAATCCTAATCCACCCATATTTACCCACTTGACCCATCTATATTGACCTTTAACCACCCTAATCCTACCCTTACTT